TGAAATACTGTTGCAGAATGCCAAAGTGTAGTTTGACTAGGATAGATGACAAAATCTCACATTAGATCTTTGGGGCTAAGATGGAAAAGTGTGGGTTCTCTCGTGGCTATGATGATCAGAAAAGGCTTCCCACAAGAGCTGAGCTGAAGCTTGAGGGATGACCATGAGCCCAGAGACTGGGGATGAGGCCATCTTGGGCAAATACACAGCAATGGGGAAAACTGTAATGTATTTGAGGGAAAGAGTCCAATTTGACTAGAGCTTGTAACATTCAAGGAGAAAAGTCAGATAAGGCTAAAAAAGGTTGGAACTAGGTTGTGAAGAGTTTTTAATAGCACACGATCTCCACTTTAGCCAGTGGGGAATGAGAAACCTTAACCAACATGGGGTCCACGAACTTGTTTTTAAATATTTTGATAACTGTATTTCGACGTAGTTGATTTCCTTTGTTTAAAAAAATAAAAAAAGACAAAATAAAAGTGTGGGTTAAATGACCACACAATTGGGTGGCTTCCTAGAAGACTGATCTGTCAACATGGTCATTCTCTTGTGGCACCCCCGAGGGTCCTGGGCTGTGAAGCTCAACATTAACACTGCTGAGACAGTCTGCTTATTCAATTTATGTCCAGCAAATCTGGAAAGCTACTTTCACACTGACATCGCTGTAAGCTTGCTGTCAGGAGAAGTGTTAATGCAGAGGCGAAATGACCACCTGTCAGGATGCTGCCGAGGATTCCCTTGTGGAGTAGGTCACACTGGAGGATCTCTAAAGCCTCTTCCGACTCCAGGATTTTACACATAGTGCCAAATGAGTGGCAAATAGTGCTAACTGAGTGGCATGATGAGTGCAACAGAAGCCAGAGTGGCTGGGCAAAGGGTGGGGAAAGAAATAGCTGCAGGGCTGGCAGTCTGTACTCAGGCCAAAGGAGCCTTAGTTCTGACTCCACCCCCCACCCCCACCCCAACCCGAGTCAGAGCCTCCCATTTTTTCTACTGCCCATATAACGTGCTAAAAACAACAACGAATTTGGATTTCGAGTCCAAAAGCCTGAGTTGGAGGTGACATGAGGCCTGTAAATGGCAAAAGCTGGGATTTGAAGAAATTACTTACCCTTCTCAACTAGTTTCTCCATCTGTAAAATGGGGACAATTTGCACTGCTTTCCCCGCTCTAAGGAAAGTATTATATAAGTATAATCTATTATTTTAAACTAACTGGGGGCAAAGATCACATGTTGTACATCAGGACACCCACAGGATCTATAAGACTATTTCTTACCCAGGTGGCTGGAAGCATTAAGACTCCTCACTTCCAGCTACTGCTTATTCAAGGCCTCTTAGAGAAATGACTTGGCTCCTCCCTTGGGGGTTAAGACTATGGCATTATTAGGGCAAGATTTAGAACTCATGGGTTCTCTAACTCTACCCTAGAGGTACTAAGTTATTGGACCTCTCTGAGTCTCATTTCTTCAAAACACAAGGAAGAAGACATGAAGAAACATCCCTTTTGGCACTTGGAATTCTGGGATACGAATGGGACTAGGAATTCCCATTAGTGAGTACAGCCCTGCTGACTCAACCAGGGAAAACTTTGATAAGCCAGGCTCTGACTACACCTTTTGCTCCTACCTCAGTAGGTCCATGAGTTGTCTAGGAAGAGCCCACTCCCAATGAGTTCCTACTTTCAGAACTTCAGAACTGCAGGGTTGGAAAGGCCCTTAAGGTCACTCAATCCCTTGGTGGTTACCAAAGAGTTGCTACTTTAACCTCTGGAGTCTGGCAAACTTGCTACCTCATAGTTCATTTCAATTTCGTTTTTGTTTTTTTTTTTTTAAAGCAACAGACAGGAAGTTCCAAACTAAAATCCATCTCCCCATGACTTGTACCTACTCCATTCTAGCTCTGACCTCTGAAAAATAACCTATCTTTCTATAGCACATCCTTTGGACCCCACAACTCTATGAAATGGACACTACAAGTAGCATTAGTACCATTTTACAGATTAAGATCTTGAAGCTTAAGGAAGTGGCTTGGCCACGATTACAGAGTTATCAAGTTATTAGAGACAGGATTTAAACCTAGGTCTTAAGTCCAGAGCTCTACTTAAAAGGACAGCCCTTCAGATGTTTGCAAACAGTTATAATCCATTAGATTATAAGCTCCTTGAGGGAAGGTAGTATCTTTTGCCTACTTTTGTATCCCCCCCACCCCTGAACTTGGCACAGTACCTGACACATAGTAGGCACTTAATAAATGTTTACTGACTTGAATATCTTAACAATAATTTGTCTTTCCTTTTTTCCTTTCCAAGACGCTGCTTTGTGTAATATCTTGTTCCCCTCACATCTTTCACATTTGCCAAGTTATACATCTATGTGGAAATCTACCAAGAGTCCTTTTCTACCGTCCCTTACGTGCTGTTGTGTAGGTGGCCCCTCTATTACTGTATTCCAGTTGTAGGTCTCAGAAACACAAAAGTTCATCATCTGTCATCTTGTCCAAAGACTAAGCTCACTTTGCTCCCCCTAAACAATGATCCAGATGCGTGTGTCAGTCCTAAACTCCCAGTTATGTTCTTCTGAGAATTACTGGGCATTTCTCTGTTCTATTTCACTGTTCTACTCTAGTCATCTACTATAGTAGATCTTCCTAACATCTACATTTATCATTTAAACTAAAAAAAGGGGGGGGGGGGTAACCCCAGATGTGAATAATCTTGATCAAATCAACAAGTCTCCGGCCAAAGAAGTCTGCCTAGTCTATGTGAAAAACATTCTGTTCCTAGACAAAAGGCTATCATTTTATTACCTGGCTTAAACCATGGTTTTGAAAAATAAATCCTGATAGCATCTAAATATCTAGTCATCTATTTTCCTTATCAATCTTTTCACTTACAAAGCTACCACTCTCAAAAGAAATGAGATGAAAGCATCACTTATGCCTGTGTGCCTCCCTCCTCCCCCAATCCCTAAAGTCCTTTAGTTAGCTGCCCAGAAGTTCTTTATTCTTAGAGATCCTTTCAGGTTTCTTTTGGTTGTATTATCTATTCCCTCATAAATCACTGGAAATGGGGAGTAGGCCAGCTGGTGGGGTAAATCTCTTCGGGCTCTCTGTCACATCTTGGGTACGTTTACCAAAATAAGAGTCTGATTTCCAACTGGCCATATCAGTCCCATACAGTTACAGCAGGGGAATCACAGGGACAGCTCTTCTAGCTGGTGTCAGTGATGGGATTCCTCCCATTTGGTAGTGTCTATGAAGCCTCTCCCTTATGCCATGGAGCACTGTCTCTTTTTCCTGAGAGGGTTCAGATAAAGGTCTATGGGAAAAGCCTCCCTAGTTTCGGGAGTTTATTTCTTCACCTCCCCCCTGTACCACACTCTTCTGCTCCACAACTCTTGACTTTGGTTTCTATCCATCTCCTTCTCCACCCCACACCTTGTTCCTAAATGATTTCTTCATCCTATCTACTCAGCCAACAAGCATTTCAAGTGGCAGCCACTGGAGAGTCAAAGACAAAAACAAAACTTCAAGTAGCTTATGTTCTAATGAGGACAGAAGACAACACATAAACAGAAAAATATCCAAATATATGCAAGGAAAAACAATGATTTCTGGAGAGAATGCAGAACATGGATGAAGAAGACAAAATTTGATGAGTCAGAGGTAAAGAGGAAGTATATTTTGGGCAAACATGTCAGCCTAAGCAAAGGCAATGGAAGATGGAATGTCACGTACGGGAAAAAGCTAATTTGGGCTAATTTGGCTAGACCATAGAGAACATGAAGGACAGGCCAGAGGCTTAATTAGTACAGGCTTTTACATGCCCAAGAAAGGAGTTTGCATGTTGCCCTAAAGGCAATGGGCCCCAGAGCTGCTTCAGAGCTTGGAGAGCTGTGTGGAGAAGGCTTTAATAAGCAATCTTCTAATCCCTGCTAATCACTGAAAGAGTTCCCTCGTCACCATACTTCCTCCTATTTTTATGTTAGGGTTAGTATTTTCTAGTGCATTTAAGAGTCCTTAGGAGATCACCCTAAAAACTCCCAAAGCAAATGACTTGTCTCTACGTCAACTGCCTGCTACAGACACTGAGGCAGAGGCTTTTGCCCTTTAAGCTGGACTGCACCACTCTCTTTCAGACTTTTGTGCCAACCAACCCAGGTACAGCCCACCAGTCGCCAACACCAGACCTGAATCCCCAAAGAAATTTCACTGGCCAAACTAAGAATCAGTCACCTCTTATCTGCTGCACCCATTTGTTGCTGGATCCCAGTGACCAAACATTTTAGTGGCAGAGCCAACTGGCCATAGGCATGAACGCCACACGGTGTTTATTCTAAGGCCTCAGCACTTTTCCCATAGGATGAGGGTACGGTATCTACCTTGGGAAGATAACACTTCTACAGCCTTTATTCTTCCCACTTCTCAAAGTGATCCCACACAGCTCTAGTCATTCCACTCAGGCCACCCCAACACAGGGGTTTACATAGCTGCTTACAACTATTGTGGGTACTTCTTTGTGTGTTTCTATTTGGGGGCTCCCTCAGGGCAGGAATCACCTCTATTCCTTCCTGCAGCCAGGTTAGACTCAGTACATTTGGAGCTGTACTAGGACCTTACAGTTAGGTCCAGAGCACTCTCTCTCCTCAAAACAGGGAATCACACTCTTAGAACTAGAAGGGATTTTTAATATCACCTAGCCCAAGTGCTTCATCTTTGGGAGACACAGACACAGCCCATTATTGTCTAAGCAATAGGACCTGATCTGGCCTCCTAGAAAAAGAGGACTCAAGGGATTGGACCTGTGGTTGAGCCCCAGAAAGAGCCTCAGTTTAAGGCCAGACCAAGTCTCCCAACAAGAGACCAAGTCTCCTAGCGTCTTTTCCCCTAATCCGCCACCCTTGGTGGATTTTGGTGACATGATACAGAAAGGAATCATATCACATAAGCTGCTCCAGGCCTCCCTCCATGCCCCCACCCTCCTAAATACTGGAGACTCACAAAGACAGCAGCAGAGAGAAGCCAGCGATGTGGAGGTTTCTCTGGGCTCGGAACAACTTCATGTGGAAGTGTTCCATGGCCCCAGGGTTATTCTGCAGGTTCACCTTCTCTGTCACGTCATCATATTTCCTGATCTCCCGCACAGCATCTGTTGGGGAGCACGAGAGGAAACACAGGAAGGGGCTCAACCACACCACAGTGAGTCGAGGCTGCAGTGTTAGGCCATGATGGTTGTTTGCTGGTCCCAGTTCACTCAAGTTCCAATGTCTTCTCGTCAGAACTCATCTTAGTGAACCTCTCTTTGATACAGATCTTCTGGAAAGTCAGCCCAGAAACATATCTTCCCAATCCCCCTACTGAAGTATCTGGGAAATCTTAAATTTCCAAAGAGCGTGTAACTCCCTCTCCCTTACCTCCATCTACACCCAAGGATGGTAAGCCTATTCCATCAGAAACATGTTTTAACTGTGGATGAGGACTAGGATGATAATAACAGTAGGGGTTTCTTCTTCCCATGTCTGACCTGGAAAAGCCCAGCCTTAAACTAAGTTAGTCATGCTTTCAGAACTGTATCTTGGGGAAAGTGGCAGTCGGCTGGTCATGAGAGAAGACAGAGAAGATGTCTGCCTAAGAATGAAGGAGGACCTCATTAGAGTACCACTTTAAAAATGAGAGTCATGAAGTTCCAAAGGATCTATGATGAAAAATCTATCCACCTTCTGAGAGAGAACTGATGAACTCCAGGTGCAGATCGAAGCAGACTTTTTTTACTTTCTTTATTTTTCTTGCCTTTTTTCCCCAAATATTGCTAATATGGGAATATATTTTTAATAACTTCACATGTATAATTGATATCATATTGCTTTCCTCCTCAATGGGTAAGGGAGGGGCGGAAAGGATGGAGAATTTGGAACTCAAAAATTTTAAAAATGAATGTTAAAAATAATTGAAAATATTCTTTTAAAAATGGAGGTCATCTCTCAAAAACATGTTGTTTTAAAAAAAAGTCAATTACAAATGCAATCCTGTTCACCATATCAAAAAAATTCTCAGGCAGCTAGGTGGTGCAGTGGATAGAGCACCGGCCCCGAAGTCAGGAGGACCTGAGTTCAAATCCGACCTCACACCAAACACTTGACACTTACTAGCTGTGTGACCCTAGGCAAGTCACTTAACCCCAACTGCCTTAAAAAAAAAAAATTCTCCTCCAGAGGGCTTTTGCCAGTCTTTCCAAATTTACCTACTTTTCACTTGTATAGTTTTGATTAATGTCGCAGAATGTATACAATTTTCATTTTTTCCTTTGGTCTAGACCTTTCTTAGAGAATTGCCTAGAAGCATGTAGAGCTGAGTGACTAGCTTAAGCTCTGCCTATGTGTTAAAAGCAGGCCTTAAACCTAGGTCTTCTTTTTTTCTTTTCATTTTTTAGGCAATTGGGGTTAAGTGACTTGCCCAGGATCACACAGCTAGTGTCAAGTGTTTGGTCCGAGGCCAGACTTGAATTCAGGTCCTCCTGACTTCAGGGGTGGTGCTCTATCCACTGCTCTACCTAGCTGCCCCAAACCTAAGTCTTCTTGACCCCTGCCCAAAAGCCTTTCTGAACAATCAAACATTCCATATCGCATCTAGAGTGCTTAACTGCCCCTCATCACACAGTCCCCATACTTGGATATCCCTGTCTCAATCTGCAGAGTAACTCTGTAGAAACCCACGCAATGCCTAAGTTACAAGGATGAGAGCCCCAAAATGAAGTCCAATAGTCAAAGGACTTCACACGTCATCCTCTACCAGATGGCCTTACTTTTCTCTAATCTTTCCCTACTACTACTTCCCCTTGCCTAAGGCACCCAATTAAATTTGCTGAGAAGTATCAGCAGGGTGGAACGAGAACCCAAAGTAATTTGTTTCTTTTTTTGGATTTGTCTGTTTGTTGTTGTTTTTTTGGCTAGGCAATGGAGTTAAGTGACTTGCCCAGGGTCACACAGCTAGTAAGTGTTATATATCTGAGGCTGGATTTGAACTCAGGTCCTCCTGACTCCAGGGCCAGTGCTCTATCCACTACACCACCTAGCTGCCCCGCAAAGTAATTTGTCAATAAATGGCTCCCCTATCCACTTTGTTCTCTTCATACCTAGCCTCCGACTGACTTCATAAGCAAAGGGAAGGGCTCTCATCCAGTAGTCAGGGTTGAGACAAGTAGGAGTCCCAGATTGGACCTGTCTCTCATCAATTATTACATATCTATTAATAAATAGTTGTATTTTGTTGTTGTACAGCTATTTCAGTCATATCTGAGTCTTTGTGATCCCATCTGGGGTTTTCTTAGCAAAGATACTGGAGTGGTTGGCCATTTCCTTCTTTACTTACTTACTTACACACACACACACACACACACACAGAGTAAGTAAGGTGAATCTTAGTGTGTGTAAAGTGGATTTGTTATTCTTTCTTAGAGTTTTCTTTCCAAGATCCATAGCCATAACAATCTCTACTTCCCAAGTGTTAGATATGAATTCTCATGATGATGGTTCAAAACAGTTTCTACTTCGCAGTATCGGTAGATATAGGGGTGAAGTAATATAAAATTGTGAGGCTACTGCTGGCAATGTGCCTTCTTTGTCTGTTGCCCTATAAAGCAAGTGGGCACTGGTCAGTGACTGGGGACTCCCATAGGGGTGAATGTGCAGGCTGAATGCTGTACTTGCCTTGATTGGTCCCCATTAAGGCTTGGGAGGGGGAATCTGTGTGTTTGCCTCAACCAGCCCCTACTGAGGCTTGAGGGGATTTAGAGGAGAGCACAAGTTGTGCTGGTATTGACCGACCCTACTGAGATGGCGTAGTTGCCCCACCTTCACGCTGGCCCCTGCAAGAAGGGTTGTTAGGTAATGCTATAGGAGTTGGAGCTCCCATTATCAGCAAACTTCCTTTGAGAAGACTAGACTAGAATAAAGTAAGCTTATCTAACCCCTTATTATGACTCCATTCCTGTCTTCCTGTCTGACTGGATCAAAAGCGAACCTGCTAGTGAGAGAGGTGCTAGAAACCCTTCTGTGTCTTCTACCTAAGAAATGACGTAGTTGTGTTTACTTGTCCAACACACACACACACACACACGCACACGCGTGCGAAGGTAGTCACACACTTTTCTGTATGAGCAAAAATAGCTCAGAATTCAACTGTCATTATTGACAAATGGAAAGGGGTGGGGGGAGAATGCGAAAGACACAAGAAGGCCGAGTAAACTGTCTATATCTATCCAATCAAGGTGTGATCATAGAAGTAGAGTTGGGAATCAATAATCCAAGAATTGCTAAACCCCCAATAACCCCTAGAATGGAGATTGTGTCCTATTCCTGGTTCATGTGGTTTTGAATTTCCAGGTCATTGCACTAACCAAAAACACATGGAGGCAAGAAAATAGGAGCACATGTGGCATCTGGATTTAGATGGAGCCCTGAATAGAGAGGAGAGTCCCTGAAACTACCCCACCTTCCACTCCAAAAATTCCTGGCCTCAGAATGGCCTGAGGACAATACAGAGATACTCTTTTGTCACTATCTGGCTCAAAGCCTTGGTAGTGAGAGCACCCTGATTAAAAACAGCTACCTTCCAGAATTTTTCTAGGTGAATGTGTCACATATAGCCATGGGTATGGTATGCAAGCAGCTGGCATTACACATGCTTGAAAACTGATGTGTCACACCCATCTTGCTAAGAAACAACCTTGCCTGGACACATCCCCTTGAGTCCTGTGAATTAAGCTGCTAAGCCCTAGGAAGACAAGTACGATAGGGGCATAATATTGTTATAGGATAGAGTTCTTCCCTGCTTGGACTAACGGGGAAACATGATACCAGTTAGAGAAGTCTTAAGCTCTTTTGGAGCAGTGGCATTTTCTTCACCCCAAGGTGGGGAACGATTTGCCCCAAGTCCCAAAGTGGGTTAAGAGATCTAGGTTCTAGTCCCCGTTGTAACATCAATTCCCAAGTCCAATTTTTTTTCTACTCTCATTCATTGCTTTTCTTGACTCTTTGTTAGGAAATTCACCTTTTCTGCCTTTCTCTCGCCATAGGCTCTTCAAGGATTAAAAAACAAAACAAAACAAAACAAAACAGTGGGACTGTTTACCTTTGCAACTTTTATGGGCCTAGCTGGTTCAATCCTTTGTACCTAAAACCTAGTTACTACAAGGAGAAGCTTGCCCAAACCTGGCGTCCAGATCTGTTGGACCAGTGGCTAGAACCTGGTACTAATGAGAAGGCAAAGCATCTTGGAGACCATGTAAAGCATACCTGGATCAATAGTGTCATCCCTGTTTACAAAGACTATCAAAGGACAGATGCCTAGGATGTGTGCAGAGTTTGGGAAAGGGGGCGCTACATAATGTTGCAGACTAGACAAATGGAAGAAATGGAATTGTGAGAGGTTCTTATTTGGGATACTGCCCACAACCACACCTTTGTCACTCACCAATGAGAAGCAGCACCAGGATAACAATGAGAACCACAAAGAAGGTGTTACCATAGCTCACCACCAGTTGCACCAGGCGGGACTTAAAGATCTTCTGCCATCTAAAGAGAAAGAAACAGAAGCTGGAGGTACTCAAAGTACCCTGGGGTCCCTCTTGGCCCCAGTTGGTCTAAGCAAGCGTTAGCTTTACCTTATTATCCCACTCTTAACGGAGCTACTTTCTCAACTTTCCAGTTTGGGGAGTCTGTACACTTGGACAGACAATTGCTTAATTCCAATAGACTGACAATTGTGGAGAAGTCTTAGGTAAGAGATACAACTAAGAAGAATCAACTTAGACACCTTGTGTGTTGGTTGCATAAGGACCCCCAACCTCCCACGTTCACCTCCATCCTCAACAAGTTACACTAGGAACCTGGATGCACAGCAGACACCCAAAGGTGAAAGGGGAATGGGGGAGGGGAGAGAAATTGGTAGGATTTCATGTAGGTGAAATGCTTTATATAAAATGGTTTATATAAAAAATATAAAAAGCAGTTCAAGCCCCATACAGATAGCTCTGCCTCCCTTTATTAAGAATAGCAACACTGATGCCCAGGAAAGCTCGGATTCATTACACTAGGGAAGCCAGCTACCCCATTCCCAACAAGTTCTATTTGCTTCAGCCTGGCCTGACTCCTAAAGTCCTATCGATTAGCCACCAAAGCTATACACATAGATCATGGGGCTCAGCATTGCACAATTCATTGTCAGGGCACCTTGAGCCCTGAAGTTGATCACTGAATAGGCTGTACCTTTTGGGAGAAATGAAAGGAACGCAGAGGAGCAGCACAGCAAAGACCTCTGCATAGAGGAAGGTAGCAACCGCAGTCCACTGGAGACTCATCCTTAGTCACTAGCTGGTTTTGACCTGGAGGCAGAATAGACCAACCTTTGAAATATCTGGAAAGATTTGAGGAAAAACAGGCCATGAGAAAGGAAAGGGGGGAGCTGATTAATCAGCAACAAACTCTGGAAGTGACTGTGTTGATCCATACCTCATCAATTCTCCTCCTCGGCTTTCAAAACCATACTACCTTCCTTCAAACAGGAATTAAAACAAGCAAGTGAATTGAGCCACATTAACATGGCTGGGGGAACCTGTCAACAACTTCCAAAGGACCAGGGGACCTCTTGGTTCCTGTGAATAAGTTAATCTATCATAACTTGAGAGTATGGGCTTAAAAAGCCCCAAACACATGAATTGCCAGTGTGATTCACTGAACTACTATGTCCCTTAAACCAGGAACTCAAGAAGAATCTTGAGATGCCAGAAGTCAAAACTAGTTGACTTCCAGTGGGAAAAGTACTAAAGAGGATCTGTGTTTGATTCCCAGAATAGGCACCTGGGTGACTCTGGCTAAGCCATTTAACCTCTTCAGGTTTCATTTTTTTTTTCCATCTGTATGATACAATAATAAATTAATAATAATAATTGCAGCTTACATTTACATGGAAATTTAAAGTTTTGCAAATCACTTTGCATACATTTGGTAAAATGAATGAACTGCACTAGATAACCTGGGCCCCTGCAAGGAAGAATCTGGAAGAGGTGAAGTCATTCGGATAGGCCGGAATAAGGCCCCCTTCTCTCCAAACAAGTAACCCTACTCCACTCTTCTGTTGGAACCTGATCAGGGCCTTCTGACTATGCAGCAGAAACCCTTCGCTCACGTCCTCACTAAATGCACCTCCTGACCGTTTTTCCCAGGCACTCTGCGACAGATGTGGTTAGCTGGCAATGCCAGGGCGGGGGGGGGGGGGGGCCCAGCCCCGCTACCTGGGGCGGAAGGGGTCC